AGATGAATGGATGAAAAAAAATGTAGTATATACACACAATGAAATATTACTCAGCCATAAAGAATGAAATTATGGCATTTGATGGTAAATGGATGAAACTGGAGACTATTATGCTAAGTGAAATAAACAATTCCCAAAAAACCAAAGGCTAAATGCTGTCTCTGATATATGATTGCTACATACATAAGGAGAAGGGGAAGGGAAGAATAGATTCTGCTACTGTTACTACTGTCACTACAACTTATATTGTTATTCTAAAGTAATGAAAACTAATCCAAGTGTCCCCCTCCTCTTTCATTGTGACCCTGGTTTTTCTGGTGTCTGATCCTCTTTTCCTATCTTTTCTCCTCTTCCTTCAAACCTCTGAACCATGTTGCTAAATATTTTCTGAGGGTCTGTAGATTCCAGATTTAGTGTATTAGGTTCATATTGCATTGCCACAATCTAAAATAATTCACTTTGTCTCCAATAAGGAAGCCACTTGGCAAATATTAGTAGGTCTACAAAATAGTTTAAATATTTATAAATGATATGTTTTTTGAGATTTTACTGTGTTAGTGTTGAAAACTCCATAAAGATGTCCTTAAGGTATTTTCTTCCACAAGTAGGAATGAGGATTATCTATCATTCTGCAATGATTATCTGATTCCTTTCAAATTTAAAATACTCCTTTTAAATTAATAACCAGATGTTTGGCAGTTGTGTTTTAGACTGTATGTTTCTGCACCTAGTTCACTGAGATTTTTTTTTTTTTGAGCCCTGCACCAAGTGGGGGAGAGAGGATAGGTCACAGGTTAGTTTCTTATCATTGCAGAAGTATCTGTTCAGTTCTTGAAGGGGCTAGATAATTCAAAGGTGAGGTTGAAAATACGAATCCTTGAAGCCATACGATCTTAATGACTATTTCACAGAAGATGTAAAAATACATGGCTGAGGGTGTAGCTCAGTGATAGAACATAGGCTTAGCCCAGGACCAATACAAATAAAAATGGTCACAAGAAAGGAATAATACACAGGATTTTTTTTTTGGTCCCTATGAATGTCTAAATAAGAATTTGATCATCATTTTTCATTCTGCATCTTCATTTGGCAGGCTTTGTTAAAATTTTCAGACTTGTTAATATCAACCCTTTAAAACACAAAACATAAAATACATCATAGAAGTGAGAAGCCAATGTTGCTAAAGAGAAATGGCTAGATAAGTAGGCAAGATGGATAATCTGGGTATTAGGAGCACTTCTTGCTTTATGTCTAGAAATTCAATAGATGCTATTTTAACACAGCTTAGATCTGTTCCATCTTTCCCTCAGTTGATCCTTCCTGTCACCCTGCTCAGTGTGCGCAGATTTACCTCCTTTTTATTTGTGGCATGCTTCCAGGCAAACATGTGAAGTCAAGGCACTTCAGCAGCTATTGTGTTTTCTCATGGGAGATTAAACAATTCTGCTTTATTAATATGACCACTCCATTAAAGTTCTTCTTTGATGAAGGATGGAATCAATTTTATAATATTTTTTAGCTAAATAATACATAAGTCTACAGGTGGAAATTTTACACAAATACATACTTTTTGGTGTAGGGAAATAAAGTTATGGCACAAATTTGGTTGCTAAAATGTAGTTACCATGGATTCTAATGAAAAATTCAAAATGGGATCTGGGAAGGCCTGAAAACTAGAACCGAAAGGTATTTTATTTTTTCATATCTCATTCCATTTTATCCCCAGAAATAAACAACCTTTACCTGTGATAAAACTGCTGCTATAATTCAGATGAATTCTCATAGTGAACATTATACATATAACATGCTTTGTCTAGTTTGAATGTAGATTTTTGTAAAAAGGAATTTCACATATGGGTATTCTATTCACCTCACATCCCTCATATTATATGCTAAAAATAAAACCCTGTATATAGTAAGGGACTTATAAAGATATATTACTCAACATACCACAGTTTCAGTACCCCAATATTGAGCATCAATAAGAAAATAGCATAGAAACATTACCATTGTACTAATGGCAAGATATCTAGATCCATTAGGCTAAGAACAGTTCTTATGGGTGAAACAGCAAAGTGTATAAAATAAAGAAAGTCCCCCCAAAACCATACTTCTTGAAAGAAAGGAATTCGTTTTAAAGGATAAATTTTAAAATTAGAGAAATTTTCTGTCCAAAAAAGTGAAAATGACATAAATATGGAAAGCAATTAAACAAAAGTCTTTCTGTTGGGGTAAAGAAAATGGGAGGCATAAAGTTTGGCATTTTTCTTAAAATAAAGTTATCAGAGTTCTGAGAAAAAGCCTCTGAGTTTGAGTAAAAGTTAATTTAGTACCAAAAAAATTTATTACTTTACACAAAATGGTTCACAGAGATGACATGGATTGAAAACCTAAACCAGTTCAAAAAGATGTGGGGAAAACCCATCAACAGAGTTCCAAGCTCTCATTGTGAAAAGTTCACAGTTTGTAGGAGTCATTCAATCTTGTGATTATAAATCTAGGACCTTACAATGGGTGAACCATGAAATGTCCTGTTATAATTGAAACCAGTGACCACCTATATTATCTGAAAGAAGGCCTGAGTAAGAAAATAGATTTGATTCATTCATATAACCATCAAATCAGACTATGCCTTCTTAACTGTCAACCCTTCTGTAGAAGATTAAAGTATTTCTAACCCAATGTCTTTATCACCCCTTTCTTCCCTCCCTACAAAGACCAATTTTCTTTCCTTAATAATAGGAGTTCAGCACACAGGATGATAGGAATCAGTGGGACTTTAGATGTCATCCACTCTAAATCTTTCAATATACCTATGAAGACACGGAAAATCCCCAGAGTCTGTGACAGTCCATAATTTCATGATTTCTTAGTGGTAGAGCCTGGTTCACATATTCCAGTCCAGTGCTTTTCCCGTTATAACCGGATCATATAAGCACACTCCTTATAGTTATGGGTCTATTAAAGCACCTAGAATTCAAGGCTTGGCTATGAGGCACTCAACCATTGCCCAAACTTGATGAATAATACAACTATTTGAAAAAATCTGCTTGATATATAAACATTCTTTCTCATGCCCTGTCCTGTAAAAGCAAGATAATCATTCCCATACATATTTTTCTTATTCTAGGAAACAATTTTTCTTCTAAAAACTTCTCAGATAATTGAACTCCCTGTGGTCAGAATATTTTGAGAAAAAAAATGCCTTTAGGAGATATCACTCTGCTGCAATTAAAATTTCTACAATTACATCTGTGTCTTATTTAACCATGTAGCTGTGGTTTAGATGTGCTTTCTTTCAGCCATTTTTAAGGAATATTTTATCCCAAATTTTGCATTTAGAAGGCAGCCAATGACATTTTGTAAAATTGTCAATGACTGTTTTAATTGTACAACTTATTCAAAGTTTGAAACACCTATTTTAATATTATTTATCATTTCCTATCATTACGATCATGAATGTATTTGTTTATTACTCACTTCTTCTAGTAAAATTTAAGCCTCATAAAACTAAGGGCTTTATTTTGTTGTTTTCTTTGACATTACAATCATACTGCAATGCATTTACTACAAAGAGAGTCCTTAATACAATTCCATTGATTGGATTAAGACTAGAAATCTGACATCTGCTTGTGCTTTATTGCATCTATAATATTTTTCTAAACGAAATGTTCTGTATTCCTTTTGGGACATTAGGATATTCATATATTCAATGCATATTACCTATAATAGGAAACTTAACCTCCTACATTTTTCTGTAAAAATTGCTTCAAAGAAATTTTCTATGAAGAAAACACATAACAAATATATTCCTCATGTGAGTTACTTAATTTAAGTGGAAACAGGCAGAATAGTTTATCTACTCTGTAGATAAACTAGTTTATCTTTAATAAAGTAGTTCATCTTTAATAAACTTTAACTGCAATTTCATAACTATTTTATTCAAAGGGATACTTATAGATGATCTAAAGTTCCATCTAATCTAAATAAGATCACACTTTATGTACTTCAGATTAATTAGAATCTACTCCAAAGTTCACTTGAGGTTTCTCTAATATTTGAATTATGTAAAACATCAAATCTTGTCACTATGAACTTTACTTATTGCCATTAGAGTATCTATAATCTTTCAAATTGAAAAGTGGATATATCTCAGATTCAGACAAGTCTATTTTTTTTCTGGATTTTTCTGTTCAGAAATTCCTCAGAAACTCTAAGGTTAACCCAAATTGATCTTCTGAGAGTGCAAATCATAAAATTTGTTGTACATTTTCTAATGAGATGAATAGGATACCAGAAGTATTTAAACTGATGAGCTAACTTGAGAAAATGTTTCTCTGCTAACCACAATAGGATACAGAAAAGAACAATTAAAATGTAAATTTTAACGATGGCTACAATAACAAGGAGGAAGAAAAACAAGGTTTTCATTAAATAAGATGTTCTACCTTACTATGATTTGAAGAGGATCTAAAATAATTTTCTTTCTATTATGAGAAAACAGAAAGATGGAACATGTTCTATAATTTCATTTTCTGTTACTGTGATTGACAATAGACATTTCAAAGATGACTTAAATGGATTGATTTTATAAAATGGTTGCAGTTCTTTATGTATAGAACCACTCATTCTTTAGAGTGGTTTATACTTATCTTTTAGAAGGTATATGTACTAAGAAAATCAGAATGATTGTACACGGTCAGTGAGGAAAGTTAAAAGCTTTAAAAGACAAACAAACAAGCAAACCCAGAGAATCATTTGTGGAGTATGAAGTCATTAAAATCTGGAATGTTAAAGCTTATGGTTACCTTTCTTTGGGGAGCAGGTCCACCACAGCTTGCAAAATATTTCTTTAGCTTTGGGCGTTAAGTCTTGGAACTACCATGGTCAGAACCTATCTTAAACATACCTATGTGCCAAACATTAATATTATTTTCTGAGCAACACAATTCCATGGCAGTAACATGTTTGTATTATATTTTCTATAGTAACACATTTACCCAGGACCCACGGTAATATCATCCACTCGACGATGGTTGGTGGTGGACCTTGCCTGTTCAAGTCTGACCTGTCGATGTGCTGAGAGGCAAGCAGCAGCAGGAACAAAAAAGTCAAATAGGAGGCTGTGTGGCAGATAAACTTGATAAATGGCTTTCTGATGAACAGTCCAAGTGGGCTTTTAGGAGCTATCAGGTAGCACACAGAGAAGACGGGAAAAAGAAGTCCTATTATGAAACATGTCACCATCTTCACTGCCCAGTGTCTTCTCCTCCAGCCCGGGAACTCATCGTACCAGCGAGATGCAAGGAGTTGTTGGCAATTGGGCTGGGCAACGAACTAAAATAGAGAGAAGGAAAGGAAAAAGGAAACAGAAATCAGTGCTATATATTATGACTTGAATTCATCTGTAAGAACACAGTAATTTTGGGGGATGGAAATTCTGTCTTGAGCATATTTAGAAACATACTTTAACTTAACTTTATATTTAGGCAATTAAAGTGCCTAAAGTCATTTTATGAATAAAGCTCATTTATTGAGTATTTGTTATACCCAAGGCATATTGCTACATGTTTAACAAGACACAACCAATATCAAATTTGAAGGCCATACTTGGGAAAGTGAAATGGACCTAGGAAATAGGAATACACATAAAATATATTGATGAGTGGCCAAAGTATTTGTTTACAGAAATACACATGTACATACAAATAAGAATACTGACATGTATATGCTATAAAATAAAAATGCAAAGGTCACTATTTCTTCAATTAGTTATTTTTTGGTAATGACATTACATTTGATCTTCATTTGAATACATGACATTCTAACTTTTTTTTATAATAAACATCTATTACTTTTCCATCAGAAAACCAAGTATACTTTTAATTGTGTCATGTAAATAAGAAAAATATCGATGAAAAATGTTAATCAGCAGAGTGTAAATCATCATAGCTGAATTTGATGGAAACAATCTCTAAATCCAATAAATGACCATGTCCAAACATTTCACAATTATGATATCATTTTATCCTGGCAACATATTTGAGATGTAACATGGTTGTTTCTTTATTTTAAGGATAAGGATACAAGCGTTTATAAGCGGTCTCTAGATTTATCCAAGATTACATATCCAGGTCAGGCATGGTGGCTCAAGCCTGTAATCCCCTCTGCTCGGGAGGCTGAGGCAGAGGATGGTGAGTTCAAAGCCAGTCTCAGCAACATAGCGAGGAGGATCTAAGTAACTAAGTGAGACCCAGTCTCTAAATAAAATACAAAACGGGCTGAAGATATGCTCAGTTGCACCCCTGGATTCAGTCCCCAGTACCAAAAAAAAAAAGAAAGTTTACATATCCAGTAATGATGGATGTTTCAATATCTGGTGCAGATTTTTTTTTTTTTTTTTGCATACTACCTTTCTCATTGGGACTGACACAGTAGGCAGAAAAAAAAAAGTGTGGACCAGATATCATTTGTGTGATATGTAACTTTGAATATATGAATTAAGAGGAAGTTAGTTTTCTCCTCCAGGCAGAACGGCCTGGAATTGCTTACCAGTAGGCATATTTGTATAGTGGAAAAGGGAAAAGAAGGAAATTCAAAGCAAGACTTTGAGGGAGATCCACAGCCTGTACTGGTTGGAAAGTGCAGAGTGCCTTCAGGGAATGCCCATTCGTAGGAATTTAAATCCCTTGTGACTCAAGAAAGTTCTCTTGGCATCATAAGAGAGAATCTCTCTATAATAAAACTGCAGGCTGCTCTTTTCATAGTTACTGGCCCTCCCCTGAGTTCTCCTTTTTCTTCTTCATATCTTAACCCTGTGGATCCCCTTTAAGCAAGACTTTGTCCTTTCTATTTCTTGACAATATGGAAGCAAACAATCCCTCACAGACAAAAAGGATGCCTCTTCTGAGCACGAAAGAAGAAATGGGATGCTGAATTAGAAGAACAGTTTAAGAACTGAGGCGTCTAATCATATGGATTAGAGGAATTGGCGCCTATGTAACTGTTTCCCTCATCCTATCTTGTGTGCCTACTCATCACGAACATGGTGGGCAAAGCCATGTGACAAAATGAATTGAGTTTATGATAACAGGGTAAGTAAATACAGATAAAATAAAATAAAATAATTTCCTCAAAACTAGGTGAGGACACCACTCTTCATTACCTTATGAGTAATTTATTTGAGTTTCAATTTCCATAGATAGAAAAGTTAAATTTTATAATCAAAAGAATAGCTCTTCTTCAGACCCTACTTGCCTATTTTTTTTTCTTTTTCTTTTTATTTATTTATTTTTTCTGGTCAAAGCCAGGCTTTTAAAAATCAAAGTAGAGTTCTTACCATATTTGTGGAGTACTGTCAAAGTGATCTAGATTAACAAGGTCTGTTTCTTTTAAGAGTTATATTTATTTTTTCCCACACAATCTTTCCAATCCTCATTTCATAAACAAATCATCATCTACCATCTTATTATTTTTTTCATTTCCCATGGGGGAAAAATGTTAACAGTATTAGAATTTAGAACAGTGTAAAGTTCTTAATAGAAGAGGGTTAAGTAAACTCCCTTAACATAAGCAGCAGTTGCTATTATCTCTCATTCACGAATTGAAGAAACAATTTACATAGTGTTTACATTGTAGTAGAAATTATAAGTAAAAATCATTTTGTGTAAACAAGAGGATATACACAAATTTTATGACAATATAACTTTTTATATAAGCGTCTTGAGTATTTACTGATTTTGGGATCCTTGGGGGGTCCACCATAGGTGATAAAAATGATTATTTTTATATTTTGAATAATCTAATTTTAATTAATATAATATCACAAAATGAATAATTTATTTTTTCTACAAGGAAATTTCATTCAGAAGATAATAACTCAAACATAAGGGGATGTCAATACAATAACTAGATGGGCTACTTGAGTTTTCATAAGCTTTATTAAAAGATAAAAATTTAATAAAGTTTTAATCAGACCTAAGAACATCTTGTCTATAAAATTTGAGAACCATCAAGAAAAGTAATTGATCAAGTTTAGAGTCTGCCTTGCACGAAGTGTCTTGTCCAACAAGTCCTCTGACACTATAGAGTTTAAACAATCATCTTCACACTCATCAAAGATCCTATTGATTTTCCTTGAATAGCATAATAAATCTGTATTTCCAAGTTAGAGCTCAAGAAATAGTTCAGTGCATATTGCTAGTGTATCAGACTAGTACACTATGTCTAATGTCTATATCACTAGGAAAGAAGATGATAACTAAATTCCATCTCATAGTGTTGATGAGGCAAGGGCAGGATTAAACGTCTTCAATAATTCCTGGGACTAAATTCAAAATTGTTTGAGTAACTGAGTTGGGCTGAAGAGTTACAAGAAGTTGAAAATAGCAGAGGAAAAAAAAGCAAAAGAAAAAGTAATAAAGAAATGGAGGAGGTAATAGATTCAAGATTGAATGTGTAAAACTAGTGAACTTGACAAGTACACAAAACCCAATTAGGAGATGGGAAAGTTGAGTCAGTAGATAACACACACATTTTTCAAGTCACAAAAGGCAAAAGTTGGCACAAGCTCCACATCCATTCACCAATACCCCTTTGAAGGCATCTATAAAAAATGCTTTCAAACTCTTATGAAATAGGGGTAAAAAAAAAATGCCCAGTATTTCTAGGTTGCCACCTAGATGCTTTCTTAAAAATGAACAGAAATGTGGAGGCAGGAAATTTTATAGCATTGAGGGAATCGCCATTTGACAATTCTGGTAGGTGAACAATTGATGAGAATGGCAGATGAAAATCAGAGAGGATGGTGTGTTCCAGATCCTGGCCATTCCCCAGTGGGCTTATTCCTCAGTCTCTGATGAGCCACCTGCATTGTCTGTATGGAGGAGTAGCATGTTCAGAAAGGGCACTCCACTCTTAATTGAAGTCTTCCATAGAGATTCCTACTGAAGTTGAATTCTATTCTACTATCTTCCATCAGGGCAAGAATCCAGAAAAGAAAAGCAGACACATGGACATGAACTTTAGGTGCTCTTATGAGATAAAAGTTTATGGTTACTCTTCTTTTTCCCATCCATTTTCATATAATATTCATACTTATTGTTTCTGAGAAAATTAAATTATGTTAGAACTTATAAAATAGGAGATGCATTACATGCTTTCTTTCCACCATCAAAAGATGATACCAGAGAAGAGAGCTCTACCTTTATCCTGCCAATTTACACATATTAGTAATTTAAGTGAAAGATTGTATTTGTTTCAGATGTGATCCTATAAATAGATATATATTTTTTTCAACTCTAGTTTTAAGGTCACAAATAGGATAATTTTCTTTTATGTTCTCTGATTTTTTCCTCCACAAAAATTCTTTCTACCTTCCTGACAACAAATCTCTCTGTATACTATCTTGACAAACAACTTTCTTGGACAAAATAACTGTTATTATAATTATCATTAATTACAATATTCGTTAATTATCTGTTCATTGAAGTTGTATTGAAATTAAGTCACTTGCAATAGACAGAGGAAGAGTTGAGTGTTTTGAACCCATCAGAGTCTACACAGTAACTGATGCCCTCCCTAGATTCCTGTATATGCTCCAACTTATTTGACAATGCGGAGGCAAGCCAAACAGTACAAGGAGGAGCCAGTCTTTGACATCACCTTCACAAAACAGGGAAAAATCGGGACTAAAGTATCTGCTGAAGGGAAATAGGTCTTTGGTGTTGGTTTTTATTCTACCTTGTCTGATCATTACCAGGGCCTACTCATCAAACATCTGGGTGTTTCCTCCCTTCTTGCTGGTCCCTCTATGTACCTTTAATCTAGGTAATTGGTTTCTAACAAGAATAATTGAACAATAAGATTTCCTATTTCCTTATTTTTTAAAAAACAAAATTATGTTCCTAAAAATGAAGGATGTACCATTTCCTCTTGCTCATCATCAAGGGCAGGATTTCCACTTTCCATGAGTACAAGGGTTGCTTGTTCCCATCCTGGTCCATGTGGACTTCCTGAGAGTCTCCTGAGAGAACACATATCCCTATGTGTAAGGATAGACTGAGAAGCATGGGTGGAGGGTGATGTGAAAACAAGAAATAAACTACTGTATATTAGGAAATTAGTTACTGAAATCTTAGATCTATAACCATCAGTAGGAATTCTCCAGGGAACTGCATCTAAAAAAAAAATGAGTTCCAACTTCACTGATGATTTTCTTTCTTAAGGTAATTCGCTATCCTTTGGATGTGGAAATTATTTAAAAATTTGTTTTAATTAAGTTATACATGATAGTAGGATGCATTTATGCACTTTGATATATCATACATAAATGGGGT